TAGGTCTCAGTCACGTCCAAGGTCCTCTTTATCAGAAAAATTTATAAAGATGCGGGACAAAGTGTTTTGACGGACGGCAAACTGACGTGAGATGGTAGTTGTCAGTTACCGGGATACGAAGCCAGAGAAATGGCTTGTCCGGTCTCTCCAATAGAGCGAAATAATCGGCGGAGCGCTTTTTTGGGTCGGGCCCATAGCAGACGCTATGGGAAGACCGAGAGAGGGGTCGATTATGGGACCACCGCTTCCTAGGGCAGAGTTTATGGCCTAAAATCTAGGCATTTTGGGAAAATATTCTACGTGAGTCATGGCCAACGTGATTGGGGGTCGTTCCCTAGCGAGCTGGACTCGATTTGAGCCGAAAATTATACTTAAGAGGGCTTTTCTTGAATTTATTTAATTTTTCCTCATTTTTAAATTTCTCTGCGTTTATTTTCCCAGTGTGGGCAGCGTACGGGCTCCCAGAAGTGGCAGTCAAGGAGTTAGACTCTCCGCGAGAAAGCAAAATATATTTAAATAAAATGTACTTTAAATTTTTATAATTAAAGTTTGGAGTTTCATTTCTCCCAGTGTAGGCGTCGTGTGTGTGTAAAGTGTGCGCGCGGGTCTAGATTTGTGAGAAGGTCACTTGGGGATTACCAAAGATAACTACAAACTCTTGTCTATGCTTAATTTTTTTGTACAGCTAATAAATGGCTATATTATGAAACTTGGCTGCTTAAATATACGTCGCTTATTTTATAAAGAATAGAAAATGATTATATATACAAAGGTTAAGTTACAGCGTGAGAAATGATTCTATACAAAGCTTATGTTTACGAAGTGATTAATTATTATCCAAAATGTTATTTACACAAAGCTTATTTTACAAAGTGAGAATAATTTAAGTTTTAATTTAAAGCATTTTTTCGGTTCGGTTTGTTTTGATTTTGCTGCTAGCTGCTGCGGCTCCCTCCATGAGCGTTGACGGCAGTTGTTATTGCCGTTGGCTATAGCTCTCCATGAGCGTTGGCGGCTGTTGTTATTGCCGTCGGCTGCTGTTGTTGTCGCTGCCGGCTCCTGACCGCCGTTGTTGTTGGCTTTGAGAGCTGCTGATGGCGCTGCGCGTTGCTATTGCCGCTGCTGTTGGCCGCTGTTCTGGCTGTTTGTTGTGGCCGGCGTTGATGACGCCGTTGCTGGCGCTGGCGGCTGTCTTTGTTGCGCTGATGAGAGCGAGCTGTTGTTGACCGCTGCTCGTGGCCGGTGTTGGGCCGCTGGCCGCTGTTGATGACGTCGCTGTTGATGACGTAGCTGTTGTTCTGGCCGGTGTTGTGGCCGTTGTTGTCGCCGTCGTTGCTGGCGCGGATGGCCGGTGTTAGGGCTGTTGTTGGTGCCGCCGCCAGTATTGGTGGGGAGTCAGACGACTCCTCACATCCTCCCCTTACTTCGGGGTGCGCTGCGAGATGGTGATCATGTTCGCCTCGCTGAAGTGGACCCTGAATTCCACGGTGCCCGCGTAGAACAGGAACTTCCGGTTCACTCGCCTGTTCGCGGCCTCCTGCGGTTGGACTCGCTCGACCACCGAGCGTGGGATCCGTCCTCCCGGGATCCGGATACGCCAGTGTCGCGGCGGCAGGACCCAATCCTGATCGGCGGTGGGGTACTCCTCCTTCTCCTCGGCTGCGGAGGTGGTAGGCGGACCCTTGATCGGCACCGGTGTAGGGCGGTTGCCCTGCTCAGCTCGCGCGAGGCGGGCCTTGGCGCAGCAGTCCTCGTCGTACTGCACCATCCAGGGATCGGGGGCAGCTCGCTCGCGCTGCGTTGGGGCTTCGGCTTCGGTTTTAGGCCGCATATGACCCCGATCGCGGTGAAAATGGTGCGTCGGGCAACGTCGAAGTCCGACATGCTGCTGGCCCGCCTGTGTCTCGCGCCGATGGGGACCACGTCGTCGTCCTCCTGGCTGCCGTCATCGTCGGCTGCGCCCACGTCGCTGCCCTTGCTGCGAGGGCCTGTGGCGACTACGTCGTTGCTGTCGCTGCTCCCGGTCGACCGTGGCGGCACTCCTCGGGTGTCGGCGACCTCGAGGTCCCCACGGCCGACGCGAACACCACCCGGCGACGTGCGACTGGCACCCGGTTGGGCACCGCCCGGCTGCGCCGGCGTGGCTAACTGCCCGATGGAGATCGGGTAACGGTCTACGGCCCGCTAGGATCTCGTCGGCGTGCTCCATCGCCTCGCTGAAGGCCTCCCAGTCGATGTCCTCTGGTAGGACTCCCGCCTGGGGTCCGGTCTTTCGGGGCTCGGCTTCCCTCGGCTGGATACCCCAGCACCACGTCATCCGTGCGGACTTCCACGGTGGCCGCGGCGGATGTTGCCGCGCGCCACAAACGGCTCGGATTGTCCGACGCCATTGCTTCTGTAGAGGGAGAAAAGCAAAGGTTTATTAGCTCGTGGTTGTGACTATTACTAACTAAGGTTTTAAGGAAAGTTAGTAATTGGGGCAAAAGGTTCGCTGCGATGGCACTGGGAGCGTTGAGTTTCCACTAGGGAAAGTGGGACGTTGGGAAGGCGCACCCTCCAGCAAGTGGCCCCACTGACTCAATTATTGGCTCCTGTATCAGTGTTCCTAGGTGGCTCTCGCCTCGGCCAGATCGAGCGCTACTCGTCGGCTTCTTTTAAGCAAGTTTATTTGCTGTTATGCCGTCTTCATACGGACTTCCGGGGCTGTTGTTGCGTTGTTTTTTTCCTGTCGCGTGTTTCTTCCGCCGTCCGCGGGTATCCTTGTCTGCTGGGTCTCTGCGGCTGCTGCGACTCCTCTGCTCAGGGTTTAGCGCTCCTCGATCGCTAAACTGGCTCCGTAGTCTGCGTGTCTTCTGCGTGGTCTAGTCGGCTGGGCACCAGATTCTGTGTTTCTGGTTCGTTGACTGCTTCCTTCAAATCTCCAAGGGCTGCTGTTCGACGTTGCCGGTTGTGAAGATGCTGCAAGCGCACTATGGTGGGGGAGAAGAATTTGATTACTTTGTAAGGGCCTTCATATTTGGGAGCTAGCTTGGCGGCAAAGTTATCCGCCGCCTTGGACAAATGATGCTGCTTTACAAAGACCAGTGATCCTATGGTTGGCCTCCATGAACGTCGTCTGAGATCATAATACTTGCGCTGTTCCAACGACGCCCGTTGAGTGTTCTCGCGAACCACCTTGAAAACATCCCGTAGCAATTCCGCCTTTGCTTCCGGTGAGTGTGGCGCTTGGCTTGGCCCTGGAGTCACTTCATCATACAAGGCTCCTGGGAGTCGTGGCTCTCGGCCTTGAACGATGAACGCCGGACTAAATCCGGTTGAGTCTGAGACGCTGCTATTTATCGCCAGGTTCAATTCGGGCAGGAGTTCGTCCCAAGTCGTCTGCTTGTCCTCGATATACTGGGCGACCATTGTTTTAATGGTTCGATTGGCCCCCTCTGTCGGGTTCTGCTGCGGGGTATATGGCGCGGTGTACTGGATCTCCATCCCTGCCTGCTTACAAAAGGATTTGAACGAACGACTCGTAAACTGTGTCCCATTGTCACAGACAAAAGTGCGAGGAACTCCGAAGTGATTTAAAATCCTCTCCCTAAAGGATTTTTCTAGATGCGCTGAGGTGGCTTTTCTCAAAGGGATCAACTTGACCCATTTCGAGAAAGCGTCGAAAAACACGAGCAACATTGTATTCCCACCTTTGGATCGCGGAAGAGGCCCAATAAAATCGGCGCAGACAATATCGAACGGCTCACTAACCTGCCTGGTGAACATTTTCCCCGCTGGCTTGGCTTGACTTACTTTGAACCGTTGGCAAGTGTCGCACCTGCGAACATACCTGGAAATATCGCGAAAGAGGCCCGGCCAGTAGTATCTCTGGGCGATCCGGGCGGTTGTCTTCCTGATTCCGAGGTGTCCTGCCGTGGGCTGGTCATGGCATTCCGCCAGTACTCGCTGCCGGTGTTCCTTGGCCACACACAGTTTCCATGGCACGGAGTCTTCGTCGTCGGGTCGAGATCCGATGTGCCTATACAGCTGCTGGTTCTCGTACACGTAGTCCGGGTAATCCTCAGGTCTGTCCTGAACAAGCTTCACCATCCGCTGGAACCATGTACTCTCCGGCTTATCCTCCTGGATCATCTGCAGTACCTCCAAAGGCTGTCGAGAAAGTGCGTCAGCGACGACGTTCTGGCTCCCGCGTCTATAGGTGACATCGAACTGGTACTGCTGGAGTTCTAGCGCCCAGCGCGCTACACGGCCGGTGGGATTCTCAATCGAGTTGAGCCATTTCAGAGCGAGATGATCGGTTATCACCTCAAATCGGTATCCTTCCAAGTAGCATCTGAGCTTCCTGATGGCCAATATGATAGCCAGACACTCCTTCTCTGTTGCGGAATAGTTTTCCTCGTCTGCTGGCGAATGCGATGACTCTTTCTTCCCCTTGAATTGTTTGCGTCAATACCGCTCCGAGGCCAATGTAGCTGGCATCCGTTTGTAACACGAACTTCTCGTTGAAATCCGGGCAGGCAAGAACCGGCGGTCCGTCAGTTTGCTCTTCAGGTCGTCGAACGCATCCTGCTGCTCCTTCTCCCATTGCCACTTCTTGCCCTTCTTGAGCAGCAGAGACATGGGCTGCACTACGCTAGCAAAGTTTGGTACAAATCGCCGATACCAAGACGCGATACCCAAACATCTCCTAAGCTCCTTGCACGTGGTAGGTGGACTCAGTTGTCGTACTGCGGAGATCTTCTCGGGATCCGTATGTATTCCCTCCTCGCTAATAACATGTCCCAAGTATACCAGGCTGCGCTTAAAGAAGCTGCACTTCTTTGCGTTGAGGCGAAGGTTCGCCTTCCGTAGCCGCCGGAATACTTCCTGCAGATGCTGTACATGCTCTTCCAGAGTGCGTCCGATGATGATGATATCATCCAAGTACGCAAACGCGTTGGGCTCCATGTCCGGTCCTATGACGCTGTCGAGCGCCCGCTGAAATGTGGCTGGTGCTGAGTGGAGGCCAAACGGCATCACTTTCCAGTGGTACAGACCCCTCCGGGGACTGTAAAGGCAGTGCATTCGCGACTAGACTCGGCTACAGGGATTTGCCAATATCCGCTCTTCAGATCGAGCGTCGATATGTATTTGGCATGGCGCAGGCGTTCCAAGATGTGTGTTATCCTTGGCAGCGGGTATGCGTCTGGAATAGAATGAGCATTTAATTGACGAAAATCCACACAAAGTCGCATCTCTCCAGACTTCTTGCCCACAAGTACAATCGGGGCGCTGTGGGGGCTCCGTGAAGGCTCTATACAGTCGTTGCGCAGCAGCTCGTCGATCTGCTCATCAATAATCCTCTGCATCGCGGGATTCTTCGGAAAGTATCTCTGTTTGATGGGCTTGTCATCCCGCATCGTAATCGTGTGCTCAGCGATATTTGACACTTGTCATTCCGTCGAATTTAGCCAATTCCTCCTCTAGAAACTGGTTCACCCATGGCTCCAAGTCTGCGTGCTCCGTGTTTTCGGTGATGACAGCTAGCGCGCCTCCAGCGTCAGATCTAGGCTCTGGGATGGCTGGTGAAGGCGCCCACCTTTCCGCTACGGGTTCCACTGCTGGCACAACTGGCCTGGTGGCTTGTCTTCGTCGAAACGGATTGTTTCGCACGGCGTTGTCATCACGAGGCCCTAAAATACTACTGGTCGGGGTATCTTGCGTCTAATGCTCTGTCTCGTTGTTGGCTGGCGTGGATTCTACGGCTTCGATGGGGTCTGCTGTTTTCGGAGTGAACGCGTTTGTCAAAACCGACGGCGTACCTGTTATAGGTGGGGCTGGTTAACAAGAAAGGGCTCAGCTGCAGTGATGCGCGGCCGCATTGGATAATGGCAGATACGCCACAGAGGAAGTCCATGCCTAAGAGCACGTCTTCCATGATCGACGGCAGAACTAGCAGAGGAAAAGTTACCCTACGTTGGTCCAGCTGGACTTTGGCGACTAGAGACGTTGTGATCTCTTTGGCCTTCAGCCAGGCTGACGTGAGTACGTACCGACCGTACGTTATGCGCTGTCCCTACGAGCTGAACCACTCGTTCACTCACAAAACTCCGACTAGCTCCGGTATCTATAGTCGCGTGAAACTTCTGCCCCTCGATCTGCACCTGCGCAATGATCCGGCTAGCCTGCACCTGTAAGATCTCTCCTAATTCCGGGAGTCCTGAAGGCAGTCTCCGTCCGCTCCCCGAGTGGGCGAAGACTCCTCTCGTTTCCCGGCTGAATGCGTCTGCAGCACTCGACTGTGCGTATTCCCCGACGCCCACAATCCCAACAGAAAAGGACTCTGGGATTGCGGCACGTTGCCTGTTGATGGCCCTCTTGAGCACAATTCCTACAAGCAAACCTGAAATTTGTGATCGTCGACAGATTCCCTACTCGAGAACCGTGTTGTGGGACCGTAGCTGGAATGGGTGGTCGTCCGGCTGTTCGCGAGAAATTTTGTTGACCTGCTGGTGGCTCGTATTCGCTCCTCCTTGGCGCGGGTTGGGGTTCAGCTAGCATCCTGGCATGGCTTCCAGTGCTCCGATCCCGGGTGACCTCGAAATTGACCGCCAAACTGGTAAGTTGGTCCAACGTGGTAAAATCATGCCTCCTGGCGTACATCTGGTACTCCGGTTGGAGGTTCTCATAGATGCGCTCCAACTCCTGTTCCGCGTTGTATCCCGCTCGGTGCATCAACAGTCTGATGTTGACGAGATATTGCTTGAATGTCTTCCCTCGACGCTGATCCCTAGTGCGGATCTCATCCTCGAGTCGCTGGAAATACCTCGGCGGCAAGAAGAAATCCAAAAACGCCTTTTTGAACTTCGTCCATGATTCTCCTAGCAGCTGGCAGCTGGAACCAGTGTTCGGCCGTGTCCGTCAAAAGACCAGGGATGGACTGCGGCATCTTTTCCACGTCGACTTCGTAGGCGGTTGCTCGCTCCTCGAGATGCTGGATGAAGGTGATGGGATCCGTGGTGCCATCGAAAGTTATCCCCCAGTTCTTGAGTTTCTCCGACAGTGTGGCTGCTGACATCTCCGCCTTCTTCGGAAGAATCTCTCGCCTGGCCGGGAGGGTCTCCACGTCGGCGGTAGCTCTGCCCTCCAGTGCTGGTACTTGCAGTTGCGCGGGACCCGGTGGATGTGGATGTGGACTCGGCGATCGCTGTTTCCTATCCGTTAGAGTGGCGTTGATTTCCGCCTCACATTCTTGTAGTCGTTCGGTGACTTCCAACACGTGATCATCTCGATTGTTGAAGGCAGCCAGCCGGCTCCGCATTTCCTCCACGGTTCCGGTTGCTTCCAAGGAAAACTCCTTCAAAATCGCCTCCAATTCCCGCTTCCGCAGATACGAAATCCAGCGTGCGCCCATATTGCTGTGAAATAATTAACCAACGGGCAAACGACAAGAAAAATTTCGAAAGGTCGAGAGAAATATTTCAGACGAGGGTCAAGCGACGTTTGAGTTGATTAAACTTCAGTGAAATATTTGATTTTTATTTGTCACACAAAAAAAATCACTAAACGGCCACGTGCAACTAGGTTAAACTCGAATTCGATGTAAAACGGCGATTTAATTCGGCAGCTCTCCTCGACGGGGATTAAATTTATTCGACGACGCTGCAAGCTTGTAAAAAATTTCCACGACGATGAGTTAAATTATTCGACGGCGATGTAAATTTAATTCGACGATGACTCAAAGTTTTATTCCACGATGCTTTGAATTTTATTCGCCGGTGATCGCGACTTGGTAAAATTGGTACGATGATGGCTTTTATTTCCGTTGAAAAACTGCGACTGTACGTGTAGACTCGACGACGGTTGAAAGAGAAGAGACCCCACCGATGCGTTTGCTGCTGGCTGTGCTCGATCGCCGCTGGTGTGAGGGAGACGACGATGAGAGTGAAGGGTGAAAACAAAATGGCTGCGCTGTGATGTATTGTATTAGCTTTTCCCTACCTCGTGCTTTTGAAATTCTCGTGACCTGACTTGGCTACCTAGAGGGCTTTTCGCTCTCTCTCTCTTTTCCTTTCTCTGCTCGTTTCGTTTTCTTGGCTCACGTAAGTTTCTTCACGTGTGGGGTTTTTTTCCCTTAGTCACGTGATCTGATAACCTCTCGTTTTAGGTTATGATCTTTTCGCGGCTGAGACATAAAATTTTCGCTACGTGTACCACGAGTTCATTAGAGTGGGTATACTTTTTTGGTTAAGTTCTCCCGATTTTCACCATGTGCCTTGAAAAATTTCAAAGTTTTTTTTTTTCCCAACTTTGAGGTTATATACAATGTTCTGTATATATTCTGATCAAGATATATATATTTTCTGTCGTTTCCTGCCCTAGAAATTTCGGTGTCCCTCGACATCCGACTCTCCATACGTTCCGACTTAAAAAAATTTTCTCTCAGTGGCGGAACCGAAAAATTTTCGAACTTTACGTATCCGAATGGGTCTTTAGGCCATATTTTCGTCGTCTAAAGTTCGTAAACCCCATGTCCCTGTTCGGGCGCCATTCTGTAAGGAAGTTCGACGGCTGGGGTAGGTCTCAGTCACGTCCAAGGTCCTCTTTATCCAGAAAAATTTATAAAGATGCGGGACAAAGTGTTTTGACGGACGGCAAACTGACATGAGATGGTAGTTGTCAGTTACCGGGATACGAAGCCAGAGAAATGGCTTGTCCGGTCTCTGCAATAGAGCGAAATAATCGGCGGAGCGCGTTTTGGGTCGGGCCCATAGCAGGACGCTATGGGAAGACCGAGAGGGGTCGATTACGGGGACCACCGCTTCCTAGGGCAGAGTTTATGGCCTAAAATCTAGGCATTTTGGGAAAATATTCTACGTGAGTCATGGCCAACGTGATTGGGGGGTCGTTCCCTCGCGAGCTGGACTCGATTTGAGCCGAAAATTATACTTAAGAGGGCTTTTCTTGAATTTATTTAATTTTTCCTCATTTTTAAATTTCTCTGCGTTTATTTTCCCAGTGTGGGCAGCGTACGGGCTCCCAGAAGTGGCAGTCAGGAGTTTGACTCTCCGCGAGAAAGCAAAATATATTTAAATAAAATGTACTTTAAATTTTTATAATTAAAGTTTGGAGTTTCATTTCTCCCAGTGTAGGCGGTGTGTGTGTGTGTGTGTGTGCGCGATCTAGAGATGTGAGAACGGGGAACCAAAGATAACTACAAACTAACTAACTAGCTGCGGCGGCTCTCCATGAGCGTTGACGGCAGTTGTTATTGCCGTTGGCTATAGCTCTCCATGAGCGTTGGCGGCTGTTGTTATTGCCGTCGGCTGCTGTTGTTGTCGCTGCCGGCTCCTGACCGCCGTTGTTGTTGGCTTTGATAGCTGCTGATGCGCGCTGCCGCTGCGCTGTTGATGACGTAGCTGCGGTTGTTGTTGCTGGCTGCGGGCGCGAGCTATTGTTTTCGCTGGTCGCGCTGGCCGTTGCTATTGCCGCTGCTGTTGGCCGCTGTTCTGGCTGTTTGTTGTGGCCGGCGTTGATGACGCCGTTGCTGGCGCTGGCGGCTGTCGTTGTTGTTGGCTGCGAGAGCGAGCTGTTGTTGTGACCGCTGCTCGGGCCGGTGTTGAGGCCGCTGGCCGCTGTTGATGACGTCGCTGTTGATGACGTAGCTGTTGTTCTGGCCGGTGTTGTGGCCGTTGTTGTCGCCGCCGTTGCTGGCGCGGATGGCCGGTGTTAGGGCTGTTGTTGGTGCCGCCGCCAGTATTGGTGGGGAGTCAGACGACTCCTCACACTGGAGGCATTTGTTAAAAAGCCCGGCCACTTGCTCCGGCAGCAACGCTAGAGCCAGCTTTGTCGCTCTGCTTGGAATCCCGTCGGGTCCTTCTTCACCGTCATCTTGTACGCGCCCCCATGGATCCTCCTCGGCGGCATCACACAGCTTAAGGAAGCTTTCCCGCTTGCTGTCCCTGATAGCGATCTTTAGCGCCTTCTTCGCCGCTTTGTAAGGCTCGCTACATTCCACAAGGAGCGGGCTTCCTCTT